AAAAAGTTTACTTCATAACAATTAATTTGAACAAAAAATGTAAAAACGTCCTTACCAGTCAAGAAAAAAAGCAAAATCAGTAAAATAGCAAAATAAACTTTTCTGATCATTGTTAAGGTCAGATGTCTTTGTCTAGTCTGCAGTGTCTCTGGTAGATTGAGTACCAAGATATATAAATCTGCTGAAGGTATCAGATTTACATAGACTCCTCCTACAAAGTAAACTCAGCAGTATATAAAGAACTTAGTAAATATTTTTAGCAACTAACAGATGAATAGAATGATACGTTATAATAGCTTTATATAAAAAGTAGAGCGTGCTGCCCAGACTGCTAGTTTGAGTAAATGACCTGAAATGTTTGTTGCACTGGCTGCCCTGTTCAGCATGTAGTGCATAATTTATTTTGGGGGGTTTTTCTGCTATGATCTTCAGCCGGTCCCTGTCATTCCTTTTTCCTACTAGGACAAGTAGAATGATGAGGAGCAAGCCACTGGACATAATGGGTTTCTGGGCACAGCAGTGCTGTCATCACATTGTATCTGAAGTGCCCTTAAGATTTCTTTTAAAAAGCCAGAGGACCCAACCTAATTTCCAGGTAGCCAGAAACACAGGGTGATTAACTTTGGCATCTTTTCTGATGATTGAAACAGAGAAAATATACAAACTGCAAAGCCTGAAGATTAATGTCAGGATATCATTGGGAGGAAGTGACAAATATAATTTTACTGTTTATTTTATAGGTTTTTTTTATTAAATTAAAAACATGTTTTTATTTGTAAAACTTTGACTAAACAATAAACAGTAGGCTTCTCTCATCTACCCCTGTGATGACTTGGATAATGTGCACATTTCATGAATATTGCTTTGTCCTCAGTTCGCTCTATTTTCTCTCTTTCTATCCTTTGTGCTGCTTTTGTGTGGAGGTGGGACACATCTCAGGTTATCCGTGCACACACCTGTTTCTCATGTACTTCTCTGCAGCCACTACTTGACGTAACGTCAGATCATCAGTCTTTGCTGGATCATTGCATTGCATCGGTTAGCAAAACTTGACTCCTAGACCTTTGTCCTTCTCAAAATTTCTGCTAAGGAGAGGAGAGCTATTTGGTGTTTTTATGAGAGAATCTGTATCAGTGTGGATTTGTGGAAAAGTCAGCCCTGTCCTACTGGAACCTTCATTAGTGCCAAGCTTTAGTTTGTATTTTAATTCACTTTTAAAAAATTCAGTGAACTTTAGCATGAGTCCTGCCTGCTTAGTGATCATTACATATTTGTATTATTTTAGTTTTGCAAATAATGAAAACCAACAAATTCTAATCTTCATTACAGGTGGTTTTACACAAAGGTTTAGCTGGAAAAACTTATTATATAAATGAGTATCAAAATATATTATTGTCACTTAATTACAGAAAAAAATGTAAACTTCAGCAAGTTATTAAGGTTGAAAATGTAAAACTTTATTCATAACTATAACTTCAAAAAATATATATTATCATGGCAATCTCCAGTGCTAAACAGCGACATGCAGCAGATAACAGTGTTCTGTAGTCTGGGGGCTCCTGTACTGGTGGAGGATGTTACACATGTTGAAGCTCTGAGGGGTTTGTGTTCAGCTCCACTGATGTTTTGTGTTACTGTGACCCTCTGGCACAGTAATACACAGCAGTGTCTTCAGGCTGCATATTCTGTCCATTTAGAGTCACCGTCTTGCTTGAAGTGTCTAAGTTGATGGTGAACTTGTTCTTTAGTGAATCTTTGTAATGTGTGTTGTGTCCATAATGTGCACCTCCAATCCACTCCAGTCCTTTCCCTGCAGGCTGTCTGATCCAAGCTGTCCTCCAGCTGCTTAGAGAATAAGAGGCCTGACAGGTGATGGTCAGACGCTGACCTGGCTGCACAGTCACAAACTCTGGCTGTGTCAGCTGTTCACACTTCACACCTGTGGAGAAAACATGTTTTATTTAACAGTAACAGTCAGTATGCTGTGATCATTCTGTCAGTGATTTTTTTTCAGTGAGACTCACAGGATCCAGCAGCCAGCAGGAGCAGCAGAGCCACAGAGAACATTTTGGTACTCAAGATAATCTGATGGGAACCTTTCTTCTTCTGTTTTAACTGGTGGCATGATTTCAAGTCTTTATAGTCGACTGTCAGGAGGTTTGCTTTGCATATAGATGCATGCTGACAGATTATAAGAGATCTGAAGAGATATAAAGACTTGTAAAAAAAAAAGTGGTTTTGTCAAATCAGTTCAGACATTCTTTAATTGATTTCTTGTATTCAAAAAATAAACAGAAAAACAGAAAATAAACATAAACAGGAAATAAAAGATAAAACTGACATTTCAAATCTTATTCTAAATTCACAAAGATATACAGTTAGACCCGTGCCGATCTTCTAAAAGTAGATGGCAGGATGTTTTTGTAAAGCCTCTTCAGCTGCTTTAACCACTGTGTTTCTCTTTGGCACAGTAATAAATAGCAGAATCCTCTGGCCTCAAATTGGAATCAAACCAAATCAAATACACCATGCTGTTGCTATCATCTCTGCTGATTTCTACACGTCCTCTCAAGCTGCTTGCATAACTATTTCTGCTGGAAGTTGAAAAAGCCGCTCACAATCAATTCCAGTGGTTTTCCTGCAGGTTCTCTGTCCCAGATCAGATAAGACCAGATAACACAGCAATGAAAACTGAAGCCTGATCCTCTACAGGAGAAACTGAGAGTCTCCCCAGGCCTTTTCTCTGACTGGAAGGAATGGACTCCATACTCTGACCTGTAACATTTGATGAAATGATAACAGAGAGGAACGAGTGAGACAGATAAAATGTTAAGTATCATTAACTCACCATCAATCAGTGTGTCCTGGTACATGGTGAAATAGTGAGCAGCACAGGAACTCAGGGGGAAGCAAAAAAACAATCGATGAGGTACAGCACAAATGCTATGGCAAGGACGAGCCAGGACGTCAGGTCATTCATATGTGTTCATTCATAGTTATGATGCCTTCAGTGAGAATCTACAATGTGAATAGTCATGAAAATAAAGAAAAAGCATTAAATGAGAAGGTGTGTCCTGGTAGTGTATTAAATACTGATATTTCCGATGTTAATAAATGTGTTTTTGTTAACGTGAAAATATGGGATAGTCTGAATGCACAACAGATCACTTCAGAGGTTGCCAATAGTAAGCTTTAGTGTGTTTAGTGCTCTCCCTGCCAGTTGTGAATTCCTCTAAACCCCCAAAGTACACAAATGCAATTCATTCAAAGACAGGGAGTGTACAGATATACAAGGACACTACATATGTTTGCAAAGAAGAAGAGTTACAACAACAGTCTTTGTGCTTTCAAATGACTGCACCTCTTCATAACACCGCTGGCATACCAACACATTTATCGGCATCTTGAAATCACTACATGAGTAGTTTTTTTTTTACTTAGAGGTGGAAACTATATTGCTGCTTCTGCACATGGAGCTTTGTCTCACTCTTGTGGAAAATCTGAGAATTACAATATCTTGGAGCACGAAGCAATTTTCTGAAGGATAAACATGGTGTTTATTATTATTATTATTATTATTATTATTATTATTATTATTATTATTATTGTTGTTGTTGTTATTATTATAGTAAAAATGCCCAGTATAATTTAAAAATTGGACTGGAATCTTACTTTTAAACAATCAAATGACAGGCACTTATCTTAATCAATGTAACTATTATACCATATAAGGTGGTGATGATAAAAAAAAAAAAAACAATGAGGGTGAAGCATATCTTCCCTTTGGTTTCACCTGCACAAGTGCCAAGGTAGGCCTCCCCTGCAGAATTGGTTTTCCCTGTGTCGGGAGCAGAGATGGGCAGTAACGCGTTACTTGTAACTTGTACTTGTAAAAAAGTAATCAGATTACAGAAACGTGTTACTTGTAACGCGTTACTGTAATCTGATTACTTTTTTCAAGTAACGAGTAAAGTAAGGGATTACTATTCAAAAACGGTAATTAGATTACCGTTACTTTCCCGTAGGAACGCTGCGTTACTGCGTTACTAAAACCGTGATTTTTTGCGAGAATGTCTCACGACAGTGACGTAAGCGAGTGCGCCGTTAGTGACAACAGCTGTATGCAGATCAACAATGGATAATATATGGAGTGTGGGAGAGAGTATGAGCGTGCAGCGTTTAAAGCGTGGAAGTACTGACCTTACTTTAAGTTTGATTCCATAAAAAGTGACAAAAACATTAGCGTCCACGTGCGTGGGAAGAAAACTTCTTTTTACAGCGAAAAAAAACCCTAAACTTCCAAGCAAGCACCAAGTGCACTACGACATAATGGGAAACTCACAGAGAAACCCGCGGATTCTTCAACTGACCGCGGCACACCTGCACCAGGGTAACCCTCCGCCTACCCTACTCCTGCTTTACAGGTGAAAATAGAGCAACAGGACCGCTGAGTCTTTGACTTTATTTATTTTCTGCTGTGTTTTACTTGCTGTTTTACTCTATTTGAAAGAGTGAGTGTAAACACAAAAAATATTTTATTTTATGTGCTGGAATGTGCAGAAAATAGGTTTAAATGTTAAACTAATTTATTCAAGTCAGAGAATGTTGCATATAATTAAATTTTTGCTTGATGCATAAAGTTAAAAGATTAAAACTGATAAAATAAGTTAAAAAAAAAAGAGACTTTTCCATTTCATTACATTTTGTATGATGGATTATGTCGAAAAAGTAGAATTGGGCTGAAAGATCTATTGCTTTATCACCTCTTCAGGTTGCAAATCGTGTTTTTAAAAAGTAACTAAGTAACTAAGTAATTAATTACTTTTGAAAATAAATAATCAGTAAAGTAACGGGATTAATTTTTGGGGGAAGTAATCAGTAATTAGTTACTGATTACTTTTTTCAAGTAACTTGACCAACACTGGTCGGGAGCGCGTGCTGGGCTGTTCAAATCATGGACAAACAGTATCCCACATTCTTGATTTTTAGTACTTTGGACCAGAAGAAGCTCCACTAAAGTGAGACAAATCAGGGCATCAATTAATCTATTTAACAGAAACTATTAAAGTATAAATCAACAAAGTTAAATCAGCTGCCTAAAAGGGAAGCAAGAGAAGCTTGTTACCAAAAATATAGCTGGTAGAGTTTGACTATAAACTTATTGACTTTGCAGGTAAAGTTTCTGTCTTTCTTCCAGTACATCTGAGGGACTGTGAATTGACTGCTGATTAAAAGGAGGCCAGCGCCTTCAGCCTTCAGGAAAATCTTTTTTTTTTCTTTTTTTTTTAACTTTAATCACCATTGACTTGTAAGGTGATGTAGAGGTCACATGAGGACAGTTTTTCCCTTCAGCAGATCTGGGCAAGATCCTGATTTCTATGGAGTTTGAACTGGAGGACAATTTAAAAAAAAAAAGCAAAAATATTAATTAGGTCCTCTTTGGTCATAAGATGCCTGAATTTCCTGTGATCTTAATATCATTTTACCTGCAATATTTATAGTCTTCTCAGCAGATGTGACACACGTTTACTCTCCTCTGCATGTTAAATGCTTTACTTTCTTCCACCAACTCAAATTTTTTTTTTAACTTATAATAAGAGTTGTGTTTTACTCTTATTAGCTGTTTGTGGCGCTCCATTAATCAGCCAGGAGATTATGGCATCAAAATTAGTGTGGACCCAACATGTTCCTTGCACATTAGAGTCTGACGCTAAAGTCTTAAACTTGGGAATCTCCACATGAATGAAAGGTGAATTTCTGTGGAATTAAAGAAAAACATGCTAATTAATAAACTTTATCTTAAGACTGTTCTTAATTTGCTTTACATATTCCTGCAAATGTTCATGTTGAATATGGGCTTTGAGACAGTAGCTGTACATACTCACTGTGACAAATGCTCATTGTCTTCTTATATTCAGTATAATTGTGATTAGCTTTGCAGGTAAAAGTTGATCCTTGTCCCCACACTGAGAGTTTGCTGCTCAGGCTGAAGGTTTTCTGCTCTGTCCCTTCACTTTTTAGCTTCGTTCTGCTTGGCTTCTTGTTTTGACTCAGTGGTGATTTGTCCTGAAACCGTCTGGAAAAAAGCCATTTAGCAGATGAGCCTTACTGGTGAGATTCCAAATTCCCAGTCCGAGACTGGGTACAATGTGATGTTTGGCGACACAATCCATGGCACTGAAATAAAGAAGAGATTCGTTTGATTTACATAACTCATTCTAAATATCATGTGTGAACACAACAAAGAAAATCATTAATCTTATCTAAGTTATACATACCTTCAGATTCTGGTAAATGCAGAACTCTTCAATTTCAGTTGTCATTAAGTTATGTTAGAGTTGTACTTTTACATTGTTTAGTGTTGTTCAGCAAGGCGAAAATAGGGCAGGAAGTCTGTTGCACAGTTGTTATGCATGATAAGGCAGAGTGATCAGGGCAAGCAGCAAGCGGAAGCATTGAGTAACAACCAGGTCTCAAAAAAGTACCAAAACACAGAAGTGAAAGAATGCAAAGAGCAACGGAGCATCACAAACAGCAGGTGTGAGGTGTGGTTATGCCAGTAAGAGAAACAAAGTGCAGATTTAAATTTCTCATATCAGTTTGCATGTGCACCACATCCATATTTTCTTATCAATTTTCCAAATATTTTAGTTCTCAAATCTTGTAATAATAGACTAAAATGCAACAAGTTTTAAAAGCTAACATTTTGCATTTTTGGTATCACATAAGCTGCTGATCCCAGCACTGTGGATGTGGATTGGCCTGTATTTATCTAATAATAAGAACTTTTAATGCTTTTTTTTTGTTTACTATATTTTAAGCATCTGTGTAAAGCATATGAATTATTCACTGTTGCTCTTTTCTTAGTGTAATTCTAGCAGCCACTGTCAACATCTGATCTAATATCTGCTCTGATAAATTCTTCTCTAAATCTGATGTGAAGTTTTTTACAGAAGAAAGATTGCCAAGTGTGATTAGCGTTTATGCCACATGTAGTTTATTTTTCTGAATCATGTGTGAGTTTTAAAACACTGCCTGAAAGTTTTTTGAGTTACACAGTTTGCAGTACCATTAAGACCCAATTTAGCTGCTCTCTCTTCTTGTCTTTGGAAATTTGTCACTCTACAGGTTATAAAAGGAGACGATGTAACACAAATACATCCCTCGGTAGATAACTCATGCAACAACAGTCTACAATGTTCAATGTTTTTAAATATGTCATTTTTACACTGACTAAAAATTGGGACAAATAATTTATTGTGTATTATTTTGTAAAAAAATTCAGAAAATGAGAAAAACTAAAATATACAACTGATTATCAGATACATGTAGACAGGATAAAGACTACTGAATTTTGTACAGCTGTTTAAGGAACTTAAACAGCTTAGGGTGGAGTGCCCACTCTGATTCAGGAATGAGTTCCTGCCCCAAGTGGAGGAGTTTAAGTATCTCGGGGTCTTGTTCATGAGTGATGGGAGAAGGGAGCCGGAGATCGACAGACAGATTGGTGCAGCGGCCGCAGTGAAGAGGATGCTGCACCAGTCTGTTGTGGTGAAGAGAGAGCTGAGTATAAAAGTGTCACGGTCCGACAGATCTGCCTGAGAAGTTTTGCTTTGTGTTCTTTTTTTTTCCCCCTCTCCCTCTCTTTCTCCCTCTCTCCCTCTGTTGCCTGGGCGGAGTTCATTGTGGGCTCCCACCTTTGGCCTACATACCTGGGAGATGATCAACACCTGCGTCTCATTAACTGGCCTCTACTAAAGGGAAGAAGTGACACTGCTCTTCGCTGGATCATTGCTTGACCTGTGTCAGTGAAATCCTGGCTTAGACACTACAGTCTAGTTCCCGCGTTTCAGCTTCTTGTGCTAACACTTTTGTTTCCCTGTGTACAGACCTCTGGACCTGCCCTTGTTCCCTACAGAGTTTCTGGTGCGAGAGAGGAGTAAATGACTGCTGAGATGCCAAGAGAGACTGAAGAGGAGTGAGAGTGTTCCCCTGCTTTTCCCCGTGGATTCCCTGGAGGCTTGATCCCCGCATGCTTGTATATAGCACTGAGTCACTGTTACACATTTCACCTGGTGTTTGTAAATAAAAACCCTCTGTTCTTCCTTTAAGCAAGGAGTCCTGCGTTTGAGTCCCCCCGGTGACCGTAACAGAACGATCCAGCCAGTATGGACTCAGCGGACTCGGAATTCGTGCCACAGCCAGATCAGCCTGCCGTTTCGCCTGAAGTCATGCTGGTACAGCACGAGCAAATGTTGCAGCATATCAACCAACAGCTGGCAGCTCTCACTCTGGCACTGGCCCAGGGCACAACGTTGCTAAGTACATCCCGCAATCTTCTCTTTTGCAAATCTTTCACAACCAGCACCACCGGCGCTTCCTGAACTACCGTTCCCAACCCCCGAGCCTTTTTCTGGTGGATTGGAAAAGTGTACAGGCTTTTTAACTCAACTCTCTCTGCCCGCCAGTAGAGAGGGGACTACAGGTGGGCAAACTTTCTTGTAGAGATTCTCCCTCACATCTTTTAATCCCCGCAAAAATCACTGTGTGTTCGACTTCTCACCCGCTCCGTGCCTTAATTGACTCCGGAGCAGAGCAAACGTTTTATTGATGCAGCTTTAGCCCGCCGATTAAACCTTCCAACTGAGCTCCTTCCTCACAGACTTAAAGTTACGGCACTCAATGGGCAACGCCTCCCTGACGTCACCCATATCACTGAGCCTATTTCTTTAACACTCTCCGGCAATCATTCCAAGACCCTGCACTTGTTTGTGTTTAAAGCTCCGCTCACGCCATTGGTATTAGGATTTCCTTGGTTGCAACAACACAATCCCACACTAGATTGGAAGACAGCTAAGGTTTCGGGGTGGGGGGAGGGGTTTCACATGACCTGCTTAAAGGCCGCTATATCGCCTATCAGTTCTTCAGATCCAGGCTCTGCCCCTGATTCTCCTGATCTCTCCTCCGCCCCTCCCATCTATCATGATCTCCTGGAGGTGTTTAGTAAAGACCGTGCATCTTTGTTGCCCCCTCACAGACCTTATGACTGTGGTATTGACCTCCTCCCCGGCACTCTTCCTACAAGCCATTTATACAGCATTCCTCAACCTGAACGTGAGGCAATGGAAAGATGCATCTTCCTCTCCTCTTGCGGCTGGGTTTTTCTTTGTAGAAAAGAAAGATAAGAGTTTAAGGCCTTGTATTGACTATCGGGGTCTTAATAAGATCAATGTGAGAAACAAGTACCCACTGTCTTTGCTAACATCTGCCTTTGAACTGCTTCAGAGAGTCTCCGTCTTCACTAAGGTGGACCTGTGCAATGCTTATCATCTGGTGAGGATGAGGGAGGGAGATGAATGGAAGACGGCCTTCAACACTCATCTTGGTTACTTCAAGTAATCCGTTGGGCATCTTTCTTCGCCTTTAGACAATAATTCTGATGGCAAAAGAGCCAAACGGGACAGACAAAAAAAAAGAATAGTGTCCAGTAAGGAATTTCCCAATTTCTTTTTTTGAGTAAAATCACCCATCAATTCTTTAGTGGTCTTACAGCTCCTCCTCTGGTGGCTTCATGCTACAACTACTCAGCCACTGAGAGGTTTTTGTTCAGGTTTGGTGATGTTTTGTGTTACTGTGGTCCTCTGGCACAGTAATACACAGCAGTGTCTTCAGGTTGCATATTCTGTCCATTTAGAGTAACTGTCTTGCTTGAAGTATCTAACTGAATGCTGAACTTGCTCTTTAGTGAATCTTTATAGCGAGAGTCCCCAGTGTATTTCATCCCAATCCACTCCAGTCCTTTCCCTGCAGGCTGTCTGATCCAAGCTGTCCAGTCGCCACTCAGAGAATAAGAGACCTGACAGGTGATGGTCAGACGCTGACCTGGCTGCACAATCACAGAGGCTGGCTGTGTCAGCTGTGCACACTTCACACCTGTGGAGAAAACATGTTTAATGTAGTAACAGTAAGAATCAGTCTGCTGTGATCATAGTGTTTCTGTTCAGTGAGACTCACAGGATCCAGCAGCCAGCAGCAGCAGCAGAGCTACAGAGAACATGTTGGTACTAAATATGATCTGACGGGAGCTTCTCATCTTCTTCTGTGACTGACAGCATGATATCAGACTTTATATCAGCCTGTGAGGAAGTTTGATTTGCATACAGATGGATGCTGACAGATTATAAGAGGAAAAAGATCACACTGTGGCATTCAGTATAGTAGTAAGAAACAATGTTAGTACAATTAAAAAGAAATATTATTTAAAAACACAGTGTTGGATTTATTTTTCTGGAAAAATTCAGACATGGCAGATAACAATATTTAAATGTAAACATCCACCAAAAAACTATTTATTGTAAAACTTTACAACACAAAGGCTTCACAAAACCAGCTTTATTGTATTTCTGAGTGTGAGGATTGAGTTAAATGTATTGTCTATAACTTGAGCAGCAATCAAGCAGTGTTTGACTTAGTGTGATTAGCTTTTGTGCAAAATTTCTTTCTCTTGTGTCACTGTGACTCTCGAGCACAGTAATAAACAGCTGAATCCTCAGTTGTCAGGCTGTTCATCTGCAGATACACCTGCTTTCTGCTGTTGTCTCTGGAGATGGTAAACTGGCCTCTGACTGACTCACAATAGAAGCTTCCACTATTGTCGCTCCAGATGAAAACAATCCATTCCAGTCCTTTCCAGCTGCCTGTCTGATCCAAACAACATGAATATCGCTGCTAAACCCTGAGTATGTACAGCTCAGTCTGTGTGGTTCTCAGTACCTGCAGTCAAACAAGAATAACTAGTGACTGTTTTACAAGCATATCATTTCACTTTCACAACAATGTTAGTAAAACAACTGCACTTCCCTTACCGGCCCAGTAAATATAAATGATAAAAAAATCAGCCACGAATTCAGGATGATTCATTGTCAAGGCCACCTGTCTCTGCTCCGTGGACAGTGGTGGTTAATCGTGTATTCCCTGTCTTATATTCTGCATAGTTCTTCATGGTAGAGATCATAGTTTACATCAGCTCCTCCTCCTCAAAGACGAACACAAATCCTCTCCTTTACGTTAACACATTACATTTTGAATTATTCAGGCCAACCTTCTGAATGTGATAAAAACAATATGTATTGACTTTTTTTCCTCAGGTCACCCATTCATGCAATTTTTAATACGTTGACATAACGAGAAAATGAAAGTCTTGAGATCAGGGAACAACTGAGCAAGATATCAGTAAATAGTCAATCTGAACTGTTACAGGTTTTACTCAGTCAGTTTGGTTCAGTTCTCACAGCAGAAATTTTATTCTCACTGGTGTTAATGTAGTCGTCAAAACAAGGCATTTTTCATTACACAAACTCACCTATTTGTCAATTTTGCCAGGCCCAGGAATTCCCTCTCATAATAGGTTTTTCCACCATACTGAGCTACAGATATATTTTGAATGCACAAATAGCCTATCTGACATTAATAAATGGTTGATTACCCTGTTTCAGAGAGCAGGGAGGTGACAGTTATATATCGTATAATGTGGTGGGAATGCAGACAGTTCTTGTAACAGTGTCAAAATCCCCCTCAACTCTTTCACTGCTGTCCCATAATAAAATACACTCAGACATGACACACACAGTGTCACTGTTTATGATTCCTCAAAAATGCACTTTTCAACTAAAAGTGCATTTTAGAACTAATTAGGCAGACAAGATGGGGGACCGAAGCTGACACAGAGCAGGACTATTAAAATAAAACAGGAAGGATATGAGAGGGACAGAGACACAGTCTCAACACTAAACAGAGGGAACACAGAACTAAACCCTAAGAACTAGAACTCAGAAAATACTAAAGCACCGAGGAGCTAGGAATACTTGAGACAGAAACCAAAACCAACAGACTAACAATAACACATTCTGAAACACTGGGTCACCAACCCAGGACCGTCACAACAGTTGAACAGGTGTACCTAATAAAGTGACTGCTGAAAGTATTGTATGTAGTGTGACGTTATTGGACTATACAGTAGTTGGTGCTATAATCTCAAATTGTATCTGAGAACTGATTTTATCTTGAATTACAGAAGTAAAGAAAATGAGTCTCTGAGCTTTGTTTTTCAATTATTTTATTCATGTTTTTGTTTCTTTTTTGCAATTTTTGCACACTTGCATTTCACGTAGTCATGTGCTGCGTGTCTGTTATATGTGGCACCATGGCCTTGAAGGAAAACTGTCTCACTTCACTGTGTACTCTACCACCACACATGGTTGAAATGACAATAAAAGCACTTGATTCGTTAGGCGTAATTTAAACCCATCATATTTTAACGGTTATGAGACAACAAGCAGAAGAAGTTTCTTAGAAGATGAAGTTAAGTTTCATTCATGGTCTTAGAGCTCCTCCTCTGGTGGCTTCATGCTCCAGCTATTCAGGCCCTGAGAGGTTTTTGTTCAGGGGTCTTAACAGTTTGTGTTACTGTGACTCTCTGGCACAGTAATACACAGCAGTGTCTTCAGGCTGCATGTTCTGTCCATTTAGAGTCACTGTCTTGCTTGAAGTGTCCACCTGGCTGCACAATCACAGAGGGTGGCTGTGTCAGCTGTTCACACATCACACCTGAGGAGAAAACAAGTTGAATGCAGTTCTATAAAAGTAACAGTGTGTGGTGTCCATGCTGTCAGTGTTTGTGTTCAGTGAGACTCACAGGATCCAGCAGCCAGCAGCAGCAGCAGAGCTACAGAGAACATGTTGGTGCTGAAGGTGATCTCCCAGGAGCTTCTATTCTTCTTTTGCAACCTGCAGCATTATATCAAGTCTGTGGGGGAGCTTACTTTGCATACAGATGGATGCTGATACATTATTAGAGATACACTGATTGTTCAAGCAGTAATAGAGACTGTGTTTTTAACATTTTTAAAAGATGAAAAACAAAAACAATCTTAAAAAATAACTCTGAGGCTCATTAAAAACTGAATTTTAAAACAAAAATTTAAACTTGTCCTTGTGACAAGTTATTGACATGTCCTGGGTGAACTCTGCCTCTTTGGCTTATGCAGGCTGGAATAAATAAAAATGAGAAAAGCAAGCCAAATATAATTTCTAAACATTGTGGAAGCCATTTGTTTCTGCCCAGTCTACAGTGCAGACATCAATATGAGAGGAAGAGGAGAACTTCAGAGGTCATGACCTTGCTCGACTCTGTATGTTGAATCCATACAACGTGACAAAGTTTGATTTAATTGCTAATAAAACTGAAAGAAAAAAAAAAACACTTTTTTTCATTTGAAAATGTTATAACATTTACTGTACATGTAAATGTTATTTTCTATATTTCTGTATATAAATAAGTACTTTGCATAATTTGCATTTTATTGTTTATAGATTAAAAAGTACGAAATAATAAATAAATACAAGCTCCAAAACTAAAATATTATTTTAATGAAATCATTTTATGTCATAAATTAATCACTTTATAACATGATTGATAACTGAATTCAGTTTCATGTACTGGCATTTTATTTTAGGGCTTTATCGATACTTACAAACTCACAATAGAGTCATTGCCAAGGATTTATGAAAAAAAAAATAAAGAAACACAAAAAAACAGGAATTTGTTAGCAGTCTTAGAGCTTTTTTTTCTGACGCTGGCTCTGTAATACACAGCACTGTTTTCAGGCTGAATATTCTGTCCATTTACTGTAGGGTGACTCTGCTGCAGACGGCACAATGTAACAGAACACAGTTTGTAGTTATATAGAATAGCCGATTTTTCACATTTTTTAATTCAGTTTTTTTCTCTTTCATTGAATATAAAGGAACAGATTACTGTATCATTAGACTGAAATTGTTTTTTTCATAATACATAATAAAAGAAAATTAATAAAATAATAATAAAACAGATCTAACAAGTTATGAAAGGATTGAGTCTTTGCCTTGTGTCTCTGGAGGACAATAACAGCAGTGTCTTCAGGCTCCATATTCTGTCCATTTACAGTCACTGTCTTGCTTGAAGTGTCTAAGTCAATGCTGAACTTGCTCGTTAGTGAATCTTTGTAGTAAGTACTCCCAGTACTTTTCATCCCAATCCACTCCAGTCCTTTCCCTGCAG